TGTGAGAACTAGGCGGCCGACCAAAGATAGGGAGTTAGCCTTCCAGCCAGCAAGCCGAGAATCTGCGCGTTCAAGAATATGGTCATAGGTGTGGTTCGTGACCCTACTGTGCAAGACCGGGACACCAAGATATTTGCCAAGGTCAGGCACTTCTGAAAACCCCATGGTACCAGCCAGGTCCCGCTTGGTCTCAGGTGAAGTGTTCTTTGAGAAGAAGACGGTTGTCTTGTCCCGGCTGACCCGGAGGCCGGACACGGCGCAAAAATCCTCCAACACCGAATTAACCAAAAGAGCCTGATCGTTGGAAGATTCCAGGAATAATAAGAGATCATCCGCGAACATAAGGAGAGGGACACGGACTTCGCCTCTACCAACTAGGATAGGTCTCCAAGCACCGTTCTCTACGTGGCTGTGGATAAGGTGGGCCAATCGTTCTATACACAGTACAAACAGATATGGCGAGATAGGGTCCCCTTGCCGTATCCCGCGGTTGGGGAAGAAAGCCTCGGACAACGTGCCATTAAAGCTGAGTTGCATAGCCGAAGATTGGACACACGCCATTACACTTCGAACAAAGCGGCTAGAGAAACCAGCTGCCCGGAGCGTTTCATCCACAAAGTCCCAGCGTAAATAATCGTATGCCTTTTCTAAGTCAACTTTGATCACCATGTAACCCTTGCGGCCCGTTCGTTTACGCATGGAATGAATTAACTCTTGGGCCACGATGGTGTTGTCAGTAATTTGTCTGTCGGGCACGAAGCTGGACTGAGCCTGGCCAACAAGGGACGGAAGGATTGGTTTCATGCGGTTGACCAAAATCTTCGTGATCAATTTGTATGCTACGTTAAGGAGACTAATGGGGCGAAATTTCTGAATGGACTCCGGGTTCGCCACCTTCGGGATAAGTACAAGAATAGTGTTATTTAAGTCCGGAGGCAAATTACCCCCATGAAGAAAGGACCGGATCATGTCGCGGACAGCTAGACCAACTATATCCCATTTGCGTTGGAAAAACATCGCATGAAGGCCATCCGGGCCCGGTGCTTTTAGCGGCTTCATGTTGTCGAGGGCAAGAAAGATTTCGGAATCACTGATCTCGGAGTCAAGATGAGTGAAATAGCTACTGGCAAGTCGAGGAAAAAGGTTGGTCATCCCCGACCCCGCCATAAGCGGCCCATCGCGCACATAGATACTGCTAAAATAGTCAAGAGCCATGCGCTGGATAGTGATGGGATCATCGACAAGAAGGCCGTTTGCATCATGCAAGCAAGTAATGCGGTTACGGTAGCGGCGTTGTTTAACCGCTCTATGGTAGTAAGCTGTATTACGATCACCAAATAAGGTCCAATCCCTTTGAGATTTTTGCAAGAGAAGGAGCTCCTCCTGGAGAGAGACCTCTTCAAGCTCCTTACGGAAGGCCACATCCATGGAACGAAGGCGGGGTGGTATATATCTGAAGCTCGCGTTGAACGCCAGCAAGCCGACGGAGAACCCGATTCTTACGTTGAAATATATTGCCAAAGATATGGGCGTTCCAGAAACCCGCCTTCTCGCTGAAGTTCGTACACGCGGCAGCGTAGTCCGTGCCATGCCAGGCGTCCCGCACGACATCAGTGAACCCATCGTGGAGGAGCCATGCAGCGAGGAACTTAAAAGGCTTTGGTGCGCGAGCAAAACCACGATGTAGTGGAATTCGCACCAATAAAGGAAAATGATCAGAATTGAGCCGTGGAAGATGCTGGACGGAGCTCTCGCTGTGGGAATTGATCCATGCCGGGTTGGCCACAAAGCGGTCGAGCTTTTGTTTCAAGTTCCCCCTCTCCCAAGTGTGTAACACACCATCCGTCCGTAAATCCTCCATGCTATGGTTAAAGAGCCACGAAGAGAACTCGTGGCTGGTAGGGATGCGGGATGGAGCTCCCCCTGACCGCTCGCTGGGCCGGATAATGCAATTGAAATCGTTCCCTAGGAGCCAAGGTTCGTGAATACCTGCCGCTAATGTCGCAAGTTCATGCCACAAGGGGAGACGTAACCGAGCATTAGGGCTCGCGTAAATGAAGGTGACCAGGAATGAGGTACCATCCTTACTAACTCTCGCGTGGATGAATTGGCGATGACATTTGAGGATGGATAACGTCACCCTCTCACGCCACAAAATCCAAATGCCACCAGAAAAACCTATGGCCTCCACCCGAAACGACCGGCCAAAACCACTCTTTTTAATGAAACCATCAGCTTTGGGGCCACTAATGCGTGGCTCCAACATGACAAAAACATCCGGGTTGTAATGGGCAGTAATAGTAGAGAAACTTCGGAAAAACGCCGCCGAAGCCGCTCCTTGTACATTCCAGGAAATAATATTCATTGGGAAACTAATTGACAGAGGAGGGTGGCACCCTTCAGATGGAACTTGGAACCTGAGAAGCTAGAGCAGCCTCGTCAATCATGGGAACATCGTCCTCAGCACCCGCATGTGGGTCAAGTGGTATGGCGTCAGTCCCGGGGGGGTCTGGATCATCTGTGCTAGCGCCGGGATCAAGTAAGTCTGACATAGCACCTGCCGGGGGTGACTGGGGAATATCCACAACCTGGACCGCCTGGTGTTTAGTCGGATCCAAGTCCGACGTTAAAGGAATCTCGACCACCTGAGATGATGCGGCAGGCTGGGCACGAATAGATTGCGCTTGTCTTCGTTGTTGCCGGTGTTGGTTGTCCTTGGGGATAGATGGCTCCGCAGTCGACCGGGTATCGGGCTTGCTCGCAGTGGGTACGGGGGGTACACCTGTCCCAGCACGTCCTTTTCCTTTGTTACCATTTCTGTTTCGCACCACCTGCCAATCTCCCGCATTCGATTTCGAGGGCTCCCCGGTATTCCCCATTACTTCACCGCCATTCGTGGCCTGGAAGCTAGTTGCTGGTGCTTGGAAAACATCTTTGTTGTGGTTAAGTCCTTGGAAAGCTTGTCTAGTCGTGGGATCTCCATAAATAGGGTCAAGCTCAATGCCGTCATCGTGCGCCAGCGACGCAAATCGCGAGCCCGAGGCTGTTGTATCCGCCTTCTTCGTGCCTCCATTAGGTTGTTTCTGGTGGGAGGCATTTGTATCCGCCTTCTTACTCCAAGGCTGTTTCCGGGGCCCCGTCTTTGCCCTCATCCACGGCCCAAATGAGGGCTCAACCTCCCCAGCTCCCTTGTCAGGTTGGTCAGTTCGGTCGCCCGTGGTCACCGGGGTTGGAGGCTCCACATCAGCAGCAACCGAGGGATCTCCCGTTTTTATGTTTACCGGTCTGTCCGGGCATGCCGTGAGCAAGTGACCACAACGACCACACGAGTAGCAAATATCCGGGAGCATCTCGTATTCGATTCTCTGGATCTTCCCGCGGATAGTGAAATGAGTGCGAAGGGGACTGGAAAGGTCCAGTTGAACTACCAGTCGAGCGAATTTCCCTCGAGTCTGAGAGGCGGTCTGGTGGTCGATCTTGAGAACCTTCCCCACGATTAACCCGATAGTTCGAAAGATTTTCGTGTGATAGTAAGGGTTTCCTTGAAATTCAACGGCTGGGGTTGAGAGGATGGCGTCAGTGGGGAAGCAATTCCCTCGGTGGGAGTGGTATTCTCGGTGATCGACGGGCAGGCTAATAGAGGCTCAGAACAACGCTTCTTCGAGATGCGAGTGCCATAAGCCCCAATTGGATTAGCATCGCGTATGGTCGGGAATGGGTCCTGCGGGTCGACCATTGGGTCCGGCGGGTCGACCCTTGGGTCAGTCAAAGTCTCCGTCTCGGTGGGAGCCGTCATCGCGGCGGTGGCAAAACCTAGCATCGGCTTTTTTATATCGTATTCTTTAATTACTTAAATAAATACTAATAATTTAATTAACTCCACTATGGACCACTATTGGTTTCATCAACAATGTTCCCCTACCCACGGTGGACACATGTTAATATGTCAACCGCTTATGTGATATTCACACATTGGTGATATTAATATGTTCAAAAAAATACATCATCAATGTGTGCATGCCACATAAACGGTATAAGTATTAACATGTGTCCACCGTGAATAGGGGAAGATTACTGTTGATTTCATAGCAAATTGTTATTACCCCAAGTCAATTTTTTGTTGGTTGGAAAATGGAGGTTAGAGCATGTTTGTATACAAGAATTCTCACAAAAAATTTCAACATTTTAACTCAACCATTTTTTTAACTCTAACTTTAACTCAACCTCACTATCATCAATATTATCAATAAAATAAAATAATATCAACCAATCATTTATACACATCACATCAACCTTAATTCACTATTCATCCACTCACATTATTTCAACTAACAATCACATCAAATTTTAATTATTTTATTTTAAATATTATTTTAATATACTCACTAACAATTAACTATACTACATTTTTCAAAGTTAACCAAATCAAACCAAAAAATCCAACCAAACCAAAAATTTTCATATCCAAAACAAAAAAAAATCCACGTTCCTCTACCCACCACCCACTTCCCCTATTAATATCCATTTACACACAGACCTGCGCCCAACTCAATCATAACTTAACACACCACTATTCTCAACACACCACTGTCACGTTTCTTGTTGAAGCCAGTGGATCAAAGCCTGACCACCTACAACACACACCACACGTGACCATGCCCAAAATCATAATACACATTTAAATAACTTCTTTTCCTTTTCGATGTGCGTATTCTATTATTAGTATATTTTATTGTGATAATAATAAAATAAGTTCATTGATTGATTGCATTATCTTTCCATTTTTTATCATCTCTTCTGCTTTTGTTGCAGCACAATCATACACAGACCAGAATACAACCACTGCTCTCACTCAAAACTCAGCACCCTCCATCCATGGTTTCACACTTAAATATGAAAGTAAAATAAAATCAATAGAAACTCTCCACTTATATAGAAGCTTTACCCTTCACCGTAATTCCTCCCGGCCACCGGCAAAATTAACAGTAAGACAAAAAAAAATGGAGAAAAGAATCGCAAAAGCCAGATTTACAGTTATTGGAGTTCCGATGTACTTTCTTTTTCTTATTTTCCATGTTTCCATGGCGGAGAGGAAAACTTACATAGTTCACATGGATAAATCGGAGATGCCGGCAGCCTACGAGGACCATGCCAGTTGGTACGACTCATCACTCAAGTCGGTCTCCGGTTCGGCGGAGATGATCTATGCATACACCACCGTCATCCACGGGTACTCCACCCAGCTCACGCCGGAGGAAGCTCGGGAATTGGAAGCACGGGATGGCATCCTCTCCGTCCTCCCCGAAACGAGGTACGAGATCCACACCACCCGGACCCCTTCCTTCCTGGGCCTCGACCAGAACGCTGCCATGTTCCCGGCGTCCGCCTCCGCCGGCGAGGTCATCGTCGGCGTCCTTGATACAGGCATCTGGCCAGAGAGCCCGAGCCTGAGCGATGCGGGTTTCGGGCCCGTGCCAAGCTCCTGGAGAGGTGAGTGCGAGACCGGGACGAACTTCACGAGATCGAGCTGCAACCGGAAGCTGGTTGGTGCTCGGTACTTCGCCAAGGGCTACGAGGCCACGCTCGGCCCCATCGACGAGTCCCGGGAGTTGAAATCGCCTCGGGATGAGGACGGACACGGGACCCACACCGCGACGACTGCAGCCGGGTCCGTGGTGGCGAACGCGAGCCTGTTTGGTTACGCGGCCGGGACGGCCCACGGGATGGCGCCCGGGGCCCGGGTGGCGGCCTACAAAGTCTGCTGGGTCGGCGGCTGCTTCAGCTCGGACATCCTGGCGGCCCTGGACCAGGCCGTTGCGGACGGCGTCAACGTGCTGTCGCTCTCGCTGGGCGGTGGCATGTCCGATTACTACAGGGACAACGTTGCCATCGGGGCCTTTGCCGCCGTTGAGAGGGGCATATTCGTCTCCTGCTCAGCCGGCAACGCGGGGCCCCGCCCCTACAGTCTGTCCAACGTGGCGCCGTGGATAACCACGGTGGGCGCCGGCACCATCGACCGCGACTTCCCGGCGCGCGTCGCCCTCGGAAACGGGAGGAACTTCTCCGGCGTCTCGCTCTTCAACGGCAGCCCGCTCCGCGACGGGCTCCTCACTTTCATCTATGCCGGGAACGCGACCAACACCACCAACGGCAACCTCTGCATGACCGGGACGCTGCTCCCGGAGAAGGTGAGGGGCAAAATCGTCCTGTGCGATCGCGGCGTGAACCCCAGGGTCCAGAAGGGTGCAGTCGTCAAGGCCGCCGGCGGCGCCGGCATGGTCCTCACCAACACCGCTGCCAACGGCGAGGAACTCGTGGCTGATGCCCACTTGATCCCGGCCACGGCCGTCGGTGAGTCATCCGGCAAGGTGATAAAAGAGTATTTGTCTTCAGATCCAGAGCCGAGGGCCACGATTCTGTTCGAGGGAACTAAGGTGGGAATCGAGCCGTCCCCTGTGGTGGCTGCCTTCAGCTCGCGGGGACCCAACTCTATCACGCCCGAGATCCTGAAGCCGGACCTCATCGCCCCCGGCGTGAACATACTCGCCGGGTGGTCCGGGTCAGTGGGCCCCACAGGCCTTGCCGAGGACGGGCGGCGCGTGGGGTTCAACATCATCTCGGGGACGTCCATGTCCTGCCCCCACGTGAGCGGGCTGGCGGCCATCCTCAAGGCGGCACACCCTGACTGGAGCCCAGCAGCAATTCGGTCGGCCCTCATGACCACAGCGTATACTGTCTACAAGGACGGGAAAGTGATCCAGGACGTGTCAACGGGCCAGTCATCCACCCCATTCGACTACGGGGCTGGGCACGTCGACCCCACCTTGGCCCTCAACCCGGGCCTGGTCTATGACCTGGAAACGGACAACTACTTAAGTTTCCTGTGCGCGTTGAAATACACGCCCGCACAGATCAACAGCCTGGCGAGGAGGAACTTCACCTGTGCTCTGGATAAAGTTTACAGCGTGAACGACCTAAACTACCCTTCGTTTGCTGTGTCCCTCCCGGCACAGATGGGCAGCGGTAGTGCACGACCCACTGTGGTTAAGCACACGAGAACGCTAACAAATGTGGGGCCTCCCGGGACGTACAAGGTCTCAGTGTCCTCGACCAGCGAGTCGGTTAAGATATCTGTGGTTCCAGCAGTGCTGACTTTCAGTCAAACAAACGAGAAGAAATCGTACATGGCGACGTTCAGTGCGACCCCAATGCCGTCCAACACGAATGCCTTCGGCAGGATCGAGTGGTCCGATGGGAAGTATGTTGTGGGGAGTCCAGTTGCTATTAGTTGGATATAGGAAAAGAAAGTTGGCCAGAATTTGTGGAATGGGCGATTGGGTGAGTTTTGCTGGGTGTTTTAGTTATTTTTGTTTACTTTTCTTTATGTTTAAGTTAAACTTATTGTTGGTCTTGTTTGGTTACCTGCACAAAGAAAATTTAAGAAAGAACTATACGATGGGGTGTTTGGTTACATGCACAAAGGAAATTTAAGAAAGAACTATAAGATGGGGTGTTAATTTGGCCTTCATGTGTGATGGTTTTAGTTTTACGGAAAATGTTTAGGTCCCGTTATGGAACAATCCCATCAAAGAACTATAAGATGGGGTGTTAATTTGGCCTTCATGTGTGATGGTTTTAGTTTTACGGGAAATGTTTAGGTCTCGTTATTGAATCATCTCATCGAGTGTTTTAATCGTTAGATCCTTATACTAACTACGTGTGTATCCGGTTAAAATTCTTGATGGGAACGGAATCTAAGCATTTCCCTTAGTTTTATAAGGGATAAGGGAACACAAAGTTGATGGGAAAATGAATGATTTGGTTTTCTTGAACAGTGTACACAGCTTTGATCACCAAAAACTTTGTCTCAAATCTGAATGTAATGGAATTTGAATTATGATGACTTTTGGTCTGCTGTCGTGTGAGGAAATATTATTTGTTAATTGTTATTTTATGTTGTCAGTCAACTTGCGGCATCACTTTATTAAAGGCTGTGTTAATTTGACTTAATCTTTTGATTTATGAAGCTAAAAGATATAGTTATTTAGTACGTTACATCACATCCGATATGAATAGATGTTGAGGGCTTGATAGATGCAGAATTTCAATAATTGTATAATAAGTCAATAGGTTTGTAAAATGATAAATATAATGATACTCTTTCAAAAAAAAAAAGTTACAGTCTCGTTACAAAATTATTCCATCGAGATATATAACTGTTAGATCATCATGTAACCGTCATGAATAGTTGATCTAACGATTACAAACTTCAACGAAATAGTTCCGTAACATGACCGTAAAATCTCTCCAATATTTTTTGCTAAGTGAAAGTAATAAGTGATGTCCTTTACATAATGTCCTATTTACAGTTGTAAATACATAGTTGTTCTACGGTAGGATCGGCCCAATCAGGCTCGTTGACTATGGTTATTGAAACCGGTATGTGGTTTTACTCGGACCAATTCAGGTTCGAGCATTTTTAAAAATTGAATTGTCGCTTTCAAACGCAAAACCAGCAGTTCAAAGCTGGAATTTCAATTTTAAAATTGAATTTTTATTTTTTTAAGTTTTGGGTATGACTCTAAATTGGCGGGCTAGTCCGAAACCGTGAACCACCACTTTAAGTCTTTACCGACCCAAATATATTATTGGACCGATTTAAGTTCACAAAAGGCGTGAACCAAAATTGGTTCGAAACCACAAGGGATCCGACTAATCCGGAATCGAGCGGGTAGGACCACAAGGGCGTCTGATTGTTCTTTATCAGCATACAACTCGACAAATAAGATGGACCGCCCGATGGAAATTCGACAAAAATGTTCAAAGGTTCTATAATTACAATTTCTCTAGTTAATGGATAATGAAAATATCAATTAATAGATAAACTATTAAAGAATATTTTCAAGAAATTAAACAATGCTAATGATATAGGATATTATAATGGACTCGGTTTAATGGATAAAACGGATATATATTGAAGGATAAGCCCACTAAGATATCTAAGCCCAACGATAGGGGTCAAGCCCAACTTGGGCCCAAAAAGTACACTCCCCCTATAAAAGGGGGCCAAGGTACCTCATTCTCTCATTCTCTACTCATTTGATGACT